CTATGTTTGGATCTGTTGGAAGATCTGGATCCGCGACGTCTGGTGATCTGCAGAGACTCGGATCTGGTGATCCGACAAGTACGAGGAGAAATTGATTGTAAGGCGCTAGGTCTGACACTGTTACGACAGCGGGCTTTGGATCGACTACGCACTTGACCAGATCACGAGCTGTTACATGTCAAACGAGACTGGAACGGGAGTGCAGACAGCTTAGCAAGCGCTGCTCTGCAACGGCAATGTGGGATCGAGGTAGAATCTGACAAGGAGATCCAAGATCTAATAACTTTGAATCGGTTGGATGAGATCCTGATGGTGAAAGTCGAAGGCGAGATCGCACAGATATCAGCTGTAACGACCCGATCTAAGGCTAGATCTGGAGTGCGTATTGGATCTGATCCAGACTCCTTACGAGAGGAAGTCGTGAGAGAGCTACGAATCGAGCGGATCCGGCAAGCGCAGGACGAAGAGTCGTGGATCCTGGACTTGAAGAAGTATTTGGTTGGGAAGATCCGGGATCTGACACAAGAGGATGCTAAGATATTTGGATCTATTGCTATGAATTATGAAGTGGATCAGTCGGATCTACTCTTCTACTGCCCGACAACTAAAGAAGCAGCTGCAGATCGAGATAAGTTGATGCGACTGGTGATACCTGAGACACTTCAACAAGACATTTTGCATCACTATCACACGAGCCTACAGGGTGGCCATCAAGGGATCGGTCGCACCTATGACCGGATCCGTGATCATTTCCACTGGAGAGGGCTGTACAAGAGTGTACAGCGATATGTGGGAGAATGTGTCGACTGTGAAACAGGCAAAGGACGACCCCGGATCCAGGGTGAGTCACCTGGTAACCTTCAGGCGACATACCCATTCCAGATCATTGCCATGGATCGTATACCTTCATTGCCTAGATCCTTCAACGGCAATACCGAATTGTTGATCTTCGTGGATCTATTCTCGAGATATGTGATCGCCAAGGCCAGCGCCTCTAGATCCGCTCAGACAATCGCTGAGACCTACGAAGAATGTGTCTTCCGCAGATTTGGTGCGAGTGAGGTGATCCGGCATGATCGGGGGCCAGGCTTCATGTCTGACGTTTTTAAATCTTTCAACAAGATCCTGAGACACCGCCAACGTACTACCATGGCTTATCGACCCCAAGCTAATGGATCGGCAGAGCGTATGGTCCAGACAACTACCAGGGCTCTTAAGATGTATGTGCAGGATCTGGATCAACGAGATTGGGACGAATACGCTGAGCGGCTCACCTTCGCGATCAACACTGCAAGAGATCGGATCCGAGGTGAAACCCCTTTCTACATGATACATGGTTGGGATCCTAGATCTACTGTGGAAGCGGTGATCCCGGTAGGGAGCACTCGCAGGCACGATCGAGATCCAAGAAGATGGTGATATCAGATGCAAAAGTACTATCAACAAGCCCGAGAACAAGTGACCTAACGTTTACGCGAAGCGATCGCGGATCAGGCCGACATGCATAATGATCTAGTACGTCCTCATCCTGTAGAGTCTGGATCAAGGGTCTGGTTATACCTAGATCGAGTGCGTGAGGGATATGCAAAAAAGCTGGCGCACTTGTGTCATGGCCCATTTCGCGTCGCTGAAAAGATCGGGGAATACGCAGTGAGGTTGGAGGTTGCAGGATCAACATACAGTATTTTCCCGGTGGTGAATATTTCGAAGATCAAACTGGTCAAGATATTCCCAGATCGACCAGTAGCTCGTCTAGATGGGTCAGAAGAAGATCGGGTGGACTTTGATGAAGCTCTCCTACCTGAAGACAGCTGGATCCAGGATCGGGATCCGGATGAATACGAAGTGGAGCGAATTTCCGATATGAGGACGGGCAAGATGACTAGATATGGACGGATCTACCGGGAATTTCTGGTACACTGGCGCGGATATGAAGATCCAACTTGGGTAGATTAGGCAGATCTCAACTGCGGTGCTCTTCTGTATGAATTTTTGCGAGATCGTGCTAGTCGCAACCGTTTCGGTGTGATGCAGTCTCACGAGGAACCGTGAGATCTGGATCCACACCGGTGAGTTGGTCACTAGTGTGGTTGAAGGTTGATGGATCTGCAAGGAGGTTGCAGATCGGATGACAGGGTTTACGTGACTTTGTATATGATGACATGTTGATAGAGGATCGGAGCGGAAAGAGATTGATTCTGAGATGAACATGGAGTGAGCGGAGACGAATTTTGATTGTGGATCTAGGGCTGTATTATCTGAGAGATTGTGGATCAAATGGCGAACGACAAGTGTGGAGGTATTAGAGTGGAGATCTGTGCGGATTAACGAAGTTGAGGACTTAGCGGAATCAGAGAACCGTGACGAATCTAGATCTGAGAGAAAGATGACATGTATTACGGTTGACTAAGTTGATATGGAAGACATGCAGGAAGAGGTGTCAGGCTCACGGCTGAGGAGGAAGAGGCGGCGCGTTGGGGGGTTCAGAGCTGCCATGTTGAAAAATTTTCCGGCGAGACGCGCGGTCTGGCGAGCGGGGTGACCCGCATGGTGCAGTCGGTAGTGAGTACGCCATGGATCTGCGGCGTCACACTCAGCGAGAGCCTCGATCAGATCTGCAGGCTCGCGACGGTGCAGTTGCGGATCCGCAAGGTTGGCACTGCGAGCATCGATCCCGGGATACCAAGCCACTTCATCCGTGCGCTCGGGAAATTGGAGAAAATAGGGATCCAACAGCAGATCCAGATCACACCAGCCCTCGCGCATGGCGATCAAGAACAGTCGTAGGATCTGCTTCCACCTAGCACCAGCGTGGGACCGACGGTTCTTCCTCTCTACGACAAAGAGCGCCAGAAACGGATCACTGCGGATCAAGGCCCGCGAAACGGGGAAACGGTGCGTGGACTCCCAATAAGCGATCAGATCTTGGAACTCCACCGCCGAATTCCTCTCGATCAGGAAACCCAAGCGACCGTCGACCGTGATCTCAAATGACATAGGCTCGGGGATGTTGGCACCAGTGCGCACATTCCAGGGAAGGGCAGCCATAAGGTCACGCACGTTCTGACCCGTGATCAGGTGGCTGCAATATTGATTTGATCTTGGAGTGGTCACCCGAGGCACGTGACTCGGAAAGATCCACTCAGGTCGAAATGGCAGCGAACGAGACAACACTTCCAGGGTCATGGTCATGATCGCCAGGGTATTGATCCTTTGGATCACCTATGGATCCACGTCAGCTATGTTGTACTGACGAGTCTGTTGGCGGCCAGGGATGCACACGTGATCAGGAGCAAAATGGCATCGCGAAAGCATCGTCGAAACGAGAGGCATCCCAGCCGGATCCACAGGAGATCCGCCACCTCCACCACCACTGCTGTTGCTCGAGCCTTCACCATCGGAATCACCACCTGATCCAGGATCTCAGCCCCGGTACGATGAGGAGCAGCATGATCGCGGCGCCTCTGCTCGAATCTCGATCGAGAAAGAGCCATGAGTGTCGGAGCCTGCAACATGTCGTTCAGGGTGTCGTCATCATCGCCGTCGGCCGAAGTGTCGGCCTCTGATTCTTGATCTTCCTCCTCTAGATCTGCGTCCTTGGAGGGCTTAGGATCACCAGTCGACCGAGGTTTAGACTTAGCCTTGAGCTTGGAGGCGGGATCCGAGCTTGCGGGGACGTTGGGTTTCTTGGATCCGCCCTTCTCGTAAGATAGGTAGCGCGGCTCGGGGGTCGGAACGGGACTCGCAGCCCCGCGATCCTTCTCCAACAGTTCGTCGAGTAAAGCGTGATCCGGATCCGGCGTCTCCTCGACGTCCAAGCCTCCGCCCATGTCGTAATCATCTTGATCTTCCTCGCGATCCAGATCTTTCTTGTGGTCCTCGGTCATTGGGGGCTTTCGTTTCGAAGGACGGTTCGCGTCGTGGGAAGGAGAAGGGGCACGAGACCGCTTGCCCGATGGAAGATCCTGACGCTTGTCGTTGGAGGAGGGTCCATCAGATCCGTTGGGTGTGGGGTGTAGTCGGTATCTTGGTCGGGCCGATCTTGATCAGACTTGTCTGGTTCCGAGTTGCCTTGGTCCGACATGTCTTGATCCGAATTCTCTTGGCCCGGCTTGTCTTGATCCGGGCTCTCTTGATCTTGTTTCCCTTGATCTGGCTGCCCTTGATCTCTGGGAGGATTATTGAGACAAAGTTTGGTAGTGGCAGGGCTTGATCCCATCCCGGCAGCCACGGTGGACAACATTTCAAGCGCCTTCCGCAGTTCGCGCCGCAGATCCGTGCGCTCTCGATCAAGGTGGACCAGTCGACGATTTAACGTCAAGATCTGGGGCTTTTGCTCCGTGATCGACCGCTCCGCGTCAGCGTATGCGGTCCGAGCCACAGTGACATCATGTTCTGCGGAAAAGAAAAGGATACTATATTAGCGAGATGGTATGATCTATATCAAGGATAAGGAAACGTACTCAGATCTTCACCCGCGTCGCGATATCCCTTCTCGCGTTTGGCCGCGCCAGCGCGATTGACGCGCAGGACCTCACAGCGTGACTTCTCCCGCTTGACCACCATAGACCTCTCTTGGATCTGACCCCGAAGTGCATCCGCCCCACGATCCTTAGCTTGGACTTGCGCGTTCAATGTATCGCGCTCCGCCGAGACTTGATTGAATCGATCCTGGAGCGCTACACGCTCTGCTGTCTGCCGATCCAGCTTAGTTTGCAGATCCGATGACGACGGATCTGGCTAGACTATGGCCACGACTTGTTGTGCGACCAGCAGATCTTCCCCGTCCCGATCCAGGGCCAGACACGTATGGCGAAACACCCCCTCGGTAACGTGTAGCTAATCCGCAGCGTGATCCCGAGCGCGGTCCGCCGTGTTGCGCTGTTCTTGCAGATCCAGGATCTCCGCGCCGGCGTGTTCACGCTCCTACAGAAGCCGAGTGACATGGGACTCCAGATCTGCGACTTGCCCCTCGAGGGTGTGAACGTGGGCGGCGGACGGGTGCGGATCATGAGCTGCTTGAACACGGGAGTCGAGCTCAACTTGTAGCGCATCCCGATCCGCTCGGAGACCGTTGATCGACTGTTGCATGAAAGAGATCGCTCGATCCTGCTCGTGAATATAGTCCCGAAGGTCGTCCAGTCGATCTTGGTGCTCCACTGATGGCGGACCCGAGCCGCGAGGCAGAGTCTGGAAGGCCAGTGCGGCCGTGAGCTCGCCCTTACGACGGAAGAGGCGCGTGGCGTAGCGGTGGAGTTCCTCACGCGTGGTGTGGGGATCGAAGGCGGATCCTGGCGATCCGCTACTCGAGGATCCACTGGGGCTTGGGGCGTTGGACATGGCGATGAATTGGGGATCTGCGGCGAGCGGAGAATAAAAAGAAGTGTTTGCAGTGATCCTGTTCGGCAGCAACGACTACGGACAGGAGGCGATTGTGGTGAAGTGGATTCCGAGAAATTACGGACAGGAAGTGATCGGATCAAGTGAAGTGACAGGTATGCCTGGATCTGAAGTGACTACTGTGGATCCAGATCGGAGAAGGTCTGATGGACTCAGATCAACTGATTCTGAGGTAATTGGATCAATCTGAGAGGACCTATTTATAGGTGCCTGATCTGGGTATGATTATGCCTGATCCAGATATGATTACCCAAGGCGAATCAGGATCAAGTAAACAAGGTAAGCATTCGGTGGTATACTTCCAGATCCGAAGATAAGCAGATGTTGGGAAGGAAATATGTGGATCCGGATAGTAGAGGATGAGACAAATCAGGATCAAGAACTTGGGAATAACGGAGAATCGAATTTGCATCATTGGACACAAGTGGTTGGTTTCTTTGTTCATCCACACTTAGTGTACTACGGACACCTCGGATCAAGGCTCATACTCGTTATACAAGGTGATCTCGTATTAGGAATATTGTATTTAGTTTAGTTTGGATAACTGGATAATATACTGGCCAGATCCAACTACCTTATACTTATTTTATACGTGCAAGCTCCGGATCCACAGCATTTAGTGCTTGGCT